AAACACTCAACATTAATGATATTAACAGACTAGCCCAATCTAAGAGCTGAGATTAGGTCTGGAAGTTATTAAAAACAAGAAAGTTTCTTGATAACTTCTCTTCATATTTGCTATTCAGTGAGGGGATGTTAACAAGGAAAATTAGATTCATTTATTGCCTTTTTAAGGAAAACTTAAAATGAGTTCATATATTTATATGCATGTGTTATACATGCATACTTTATTTCCATTTCCTTGACTTTATTTTTTTATATATAATTCTCTTAGGACATTTCAGGTTATATGTCTGGAAACTTCAGCCATCCAGAAAAAAAGAAGGTTGGGAAATAATGAAAAAAATGTGCTGAAAGAATTCACATAAAAGTTTTGGAGACTTGAAAATGGAAACAACAGACACTTAAAAAGTTATTGAACCAGAAAAAAAAAGCCCTTCCTGGCAAGTACTTACATAGCAATATACTGATAACTGTGGGATGAAAATAAAAGCAGCCAGACATTATTACAGAACTTTCCTCCATGAAATCTAACTTCTAATTCAAAGTTAAAGAGAGCCTGATTTGTATTTTTGTCTTTCTGATTTGGACATTAGAAAAAAATCACTAATTGTAAAAGAAAAATGAAATCTTCAAAGTAAATTTAGTTCAATTATTTAGTTCAAGTATCTCCTTCATAGGAATTTCACCCATTTACTTCTATACAAATATACACACATACACAAAGGAAAGTATATAATTTGTAAACTGATATACAGTATTAAAACTATATGTTATATATTTAATTTTGTCAGTGTGAACTTCATCATTGTTCCTTATATATAGATTTTTTTTCAAAACAGCTGCCCAACCAGATGAAAAATTATAAAAAGGATAAAAATCAGAGTAGCTTCTTACAGTGAGATTAATTCAAGTATTTAAGTAATTTCTAAATATTAGTAATTCAAGAGGTAAGAAGTTAAGTGCTCATATTATTTAAGAAAGGAGAGAAATTCTTGTTTAAATTCTTCTTTTTGCATTAATTTAATCCATGTTTTTAATAATGCAACTCTTATGCAATCAAGATGTCTTTTGGAGTTACCATAGTATTCACTAGTGACACGTTCAATTAATCTAATACACTAAACCAGGGCATCCTAAAGAGTGTGCAGAATGACAGTAATCTGGGATTAAACAACAAATTCATAAGAATTTTTCCATAGCCATTTTGCTGTAAGGTTTCTTTTTTTCTTTCCCAGTTACTGACCTCAGTCAAAATCAATACCAATCCATTTGTTCCATTCCAAAGGTAAAGAGACTTCACCCAGTCACTTAAAAGAGAATATGCAGAGTAATTTTGAGTCTTCTCTCCCTTAAGGTCTATTGATTCTTCTTCAGAAAGAATTTTCAAATCTGAGATCCACCCTCTCCACACCCCTCCTTAAATTTTCCTCTGTAACTTCTTTAATGAAACCCTCATTTTGTCCTGGACTATTGCAATATTTTTCTAGTGGACCTCCATTTCTAGCCATTTGTCCTAGCTGGATACAACCAATTCTCTACTTTGCTTTATTCAGATATGACCATGTTACTGTTGTGCTCCAAAACTGTCAATGGCATCTGAATGGCAACTGAATACAGACCCTATTCCTTACTTAGGACAGTTATTTCAAGGTCTCCATTATGTGGGTCTGTCTACAAACAATTCTACCATTTCCCTCACTAGACAGAAGATTTGCAGAATTATGAATTTCACAGATTTATCTATCTATTTATATGTATATATATGGGTACACACACACACATATTCTGAAGTTGATGTCTAAGGTAATAATAGCAAACTTTCAATTTTTCCAAAGGAAACACAAAATCAGCATTTAATATCACCATCATATATGAAATGCTTTTTTCCCTTCACTTAAATTAATTAGGTTTATGAAAACACATTATTCTGTCACATATTTTCAAGTTAATTTCTCATCATTAACAATGATGACATTGCCATAGATTGGCAGCAGTGTATGGCAATGACAGGTTTTTGGGAATCACTGCCTTAGATACTCACCATTCCCTAAACACATACTGACTGGTAATATTATGACTCACAGACTTATGTTAACTATAAGGATGGCTGAAAACTTAAAACAACTATGTCAGTTATGGTCTTGGCAAGAAACAAGCACAGTCAGTGGGGATTTTGAAAATAATTTAATAGAGCAATATTTACACATGTATGGCCGGCTTAAGGGACTTAACAAGGTATTCGAGGGCACAGGGATTAGCAACAGCAGGAAGTCCCTAAGGTTGCAGGGAGTAATAGGTGCTATCAGAAGCTCAGGGAGGCCTTAGAGAGCTTCTAGATGAATGAAGAATCCTGAGGCCTTTGTAGAGAGCTGCAGAAGGAAACCCCTACATCCCTTTCCTCCCCCTGATTGCTTGTTAATGTCTCTCATTGGTCAACTCAGCAGCAAGCCAGAGGGCAAGGGAAGAGGCTGACATAGATTTTAAGATTTTAAGGATCAGGCCAGTCCTCTCTGCAAAGCAGGGAAAAGAAGGGAGAAAATGCACAGGGTGAAATAGGAAGTACGAGTGGAGAATAACTAGCCAACTAACTTTCTCCCTGTCCTATTTACAGACACCAATAGTAGGCTAATTTGTATCACAATGCCTCTTCTGTTGTCCTCTGTTCCTAGCTAATTGTGGTAGAATACCTATTCCAGGGCAGCGCTTTCCGATTTTTGTTACATTATGGCACATAGCAGTCAACCAAAGAGAATTTGAGAGGCATGTATATGAGCCTTGGTGAAAAAAAATTTATCTTAAACTTTCTTTTTATGATAGTATAAATAGAGATGAAGATTCTGCATATTAAATTTATGTGACCATGGACATACAATGGGGAAATGACAGCCTCTTCAACAACTGGTGTTGGCAAAACTGGGCAGGTACATTCAGGAGAATGAAACTGGATTATTGTCTAACCCCATATGTAAAAGTAAACTCAAAATGGATCAAAGACCTGAAAGTAAGTCATGAAAGCATAAAACTCTTAGGAGACAACATAGGCAAAACTCTCCTAGCAAATTTTTCCTAAACGCATCTCCTCGGGCGAGAGAAACAAAATAAGAAATGAAAAAATGGGACTGACTACATCAAACTAAAAAGCTTCTGTGCAGCAAAGGACACCATTAACAGAACAAACAGGCATCCTACAGTATGGGAGAATATATTTGTAAACAACATTTCCAACAAGGAGTTAATACCAAAAACATATAAAGAACTCACATGCCTCAACAACCAAAAAGCAAATAAACTGATTAAAAAATGGGCAGAGAATATGAACAGACAAGTCTCCAAAGAAGAAATTCAGATGGCCAGCAGGCACATGAAAAGATGCTCCACATCGCTAACTATCAGGGAAATGAAAATAAAAACCACAATGAGATATCACCTGACATCAGTGAGGATGGCCAACATCCAAAAGACTAGGAATGACAAATACTGGTGAGGATGTGGAGAAAGGGGAACCCTCCTACACTGCTGGTGGGAATGTAAGCTAGTTCAACCATTGTGGAAAGCAATATGAAGGTTCCTCAAAAAACTAAAAATAGAAACACCATTTGACCCAGGAATTTCACTCCTAGGAATTTACCCATAGAATACAACTTCTTAGATTCAAAGACATATGCACCCCCATGTTTATTACAGCACTATTTACAACAGCCAAGATATGGAAGCAAACTAAGTGTCCATCAGTAGATGAATGGATAAAGAAGATGTGGTACATATACACAATGAAATACTATTCAGCCATAAGAAAGAAACAAATCCTACCATTTGTAACAACATGGATGGAGCTGGAAGATATTATGCTCAGTGAAATAAGTCAGGCAGAGAAGGACAAGTACCAAATGATTTCCCTTATTTGTGGAGTATAACAATGAAGCAAAACTGAAGGAACAAAACAGCAGCAGACTCACAGACTCCAAGAAAGGACTAGCAGTTACTAACGGGGACGGGTGGGGGAAGGCGAGTGGGGAGGGAGGGAGAAGGGAATTGAGGGGTATTGTGATTGGCACAAATGGTTTGGGAGGGATCATGGGGAAGACAGAGTAGCACAGAGAAGGCAAATAGTGCTCTGTGGCATTTTACTACACTGATGGGCAGTGACTGCAATGGGGTATGAGGGGGCATTTAATTATACAGCAACATCAAGAAGAAGAGAGCAACTAGCTCTTCAGCATGCCTACTATTCAGCTTGTAAACACCGACACAGTCTATTATGACTTTCTTCATATTTGTCAATATTCCTGCTCTACCAACTCTGAATTCAGAGTAAGAAAGTGTTCTCTGAATCATCTAGGCCTAATTGACTGGAATTAGTTCACTTGAGCATTTCTCAACAGAATTTCTGTGCAATTTTGAAATAAAAACTTTAGTTTCTTTAAAATTTGTAATTAAGTATTAATCTTGAAGTTTTTTTTTCCATTTAATGTGGGCTTCAGTTCTAATGAAAGATTGTGAAGGCCCAGAATTTAGCATAGTGCTGGCATTGATTTATTGGAGTCAGTACATTTTTACTAAACTAAATTGAACTAAAATATTTCATATTTCACACTAAACAACATATTTTATATACTTGCACATAACAGCTTGTTTCTGGTATGACCTAATGATAAACCTCAACACAAATCTTTAAGGCAAACCTCAGGAAATTTCTACTAGGGATTATTTCCAAACCGAAAGGAAGCACGGAGACTTTGGTGACTAACTGCATCTCGCACCTGGCTCCCGGAATTCTCGCTTAAGTGCCCTACATTTATTCTCCCCCTCCTCCATCAGCCTCCTCAAAAACTAAGGCGAAAGTAAAACCGGCGGGACTTTTTTCCACTTTAAGTTTCCCAGAATCAAGATACCCGGATTAAAGCAGGCTATTAGATTGACAGGAACTTTGCCCAATAGCATCATAGAGAGGCGTGTCATTTCACAGGGCTCCAATCAACACGCAGAGAGTCTCCGTCTCCAAGGTGAAAGCGGAAGTAAAGCCTTTGCGCGCCTTCTTGGAAACGCGCCGTCATGGAAACACTCCTGCAGCACCTGGAACGTTTCTCTGAGGTTCTGGTTGTCTCCCGCACTAGCCATGTCGGCACCTGGGATCCCGCCACTGTACGCAGGGCCTTGCAGTGGGCTCGATACCTGCGCCATGTCCACAGGCGCTTTGACAGCCATGTGCGTATTCGCACAGCTTTGGAGCGGCGGCTGCAAAACCAGTGGAGGCAGGTGGGCGGCTCTGGCCCCGCTTCAGTCCCCGGGTTGACGAACTTCCAGGCGTTGGGGAGCTGTGACCTCCTGCTGTCTCTGCGCCTGCTGGAGAACCGGGCTCTCGGGGGTGCTGCCTTTCGTTACCTGCTGCAGCAACTCTTTCCGGGCCCTGGCGTCCCGGACGGCGACGAGGAGACGCTCCAAGGCCGCCTGGCCCTCCTCGCCCGCCGCCGGTCAGCTGTCCATATGCTGAGTATCAGCTGCCGAGAGAACCTGGTCCTTCTGGAGGACTCGGTGATGAAGACTCAAGCGGAGCTGCTGCTGGAGCGTCTGCAGGAGGTGGGGAAGGCCGAAGCGGAGGGCCCCAGCCGGTTTCTCAGCAGCCTGTGGGAGCGCTTGCCTCGGGGCAACTTCCTGAACGTGATAGCAGCCGCGCTGCGGCCAACGCCGTCGTCTTCCCGACCCCAAGAAGAGGAGTCGGAACTGGGTGCCCCCAAAGCACCCAGAGAAGGGAGTCAAGAGTTGGTCCGTTGGCTGCTGGGGAAGCCAGATATCCTGGCTACCTTTTGCCGCAACCTTCCAGCCGGGCTTTTAACTTCGGTCGTGGGCCGTCATCCACAGCTGTCCCGGGTCTACTTGAGTCTGCTGAAGGACTGGGGTCGACATCTGCATTACGACCTTCAGGAAGGCGTTTGGGTTAGAGCTGAGCCTCAGGATGTGTCCTGGGAGGAATTGTACGGCAGGTTTCACAGCCTCTGTCAGGCCCCTCCACCTCTGAAAGATGAAGTTCTAACTGCCCTTGAGTCCTCTAAGGCTCAGGATGGAGATTTCCAAGTCCCTGGTCTTAGCATCTGGACAGACCTGTTGTTAGCTCTTGGGACTGGCTCATAATTCCATCTGGGAAAACAGCCCAGGCGCCAGTGGGCCACGCTCTGTTACTGATTACTTGAGTATATGGATTACAAAATTAAAATTACATTGTTTCCACCAAATCTCCTATACTTTCATGTGCCCAGAATATTCTTTTATGCACTAATTTATAGTAGGTGTAATTATAATGTACAATTATAAATATGTAACTGGCTTTTCTGGGTAGAGGAGGTGACACTGGAAGTATCCTCTTTAAAGCCCTAGAATTAACAGTAGTTTGCTTTTTAGAACGTCCATTTCTAAGAAGGATGAAAAGATAACTACTTTTCAAAGAAAAGACAGTTTTAAAGTGACACCTTTTTTCTTAATGTATGGTTTACTTTTGTAGGGTCCCCCTCATCCCCTCAGTAGTGAAGAGTTTTCTTTAACCAACATATGTTGGCAGAAATGGGTAGAAAGCTAAGTGGCCTATTTGGAGTTAGACTCCTGGGCCTTGACCTTGTTAAACTAAAGTTATAACCAATTAACAAGCCTCAACATGTATTAAAATTATGTTTTCCAGAAAGTTTGTTTCTCATTTCTGTAAATTACTACTCTCTGAAATTGAAAGACCAAAAAATTATTTTCTTAAGGACAAGAAAAAAATTGTTACAGTAAACACAAATATATGCCTTTGGATATTAATTTAGCATTTGATGGTAGAAGAATCAAAACAAATTTATGAATTTGAAGACAGATTTTAGTGCTGCTTCTGCCATTGACCTGCTTAATAAATTACAATCTTGGTGTTACAGTTGCCTCATGTTAAATGAAGTGTTTAGACTAAAATAGTTAAATTCCCTTATTTTTCCCTTGATGGCTATCCTCTGGGGACAGTTTAGAATGTTTCTTTGTAGTGTAGGTAAGAACATTAATTTTGTGAGTTGACCCAGATGCTCCACAACTGGCAGAGTGATTTCCAATCACCAAACTTAAAAATGATCTATTCATTCATATTGATTAAAGGGAACTTTTTATCCATCAAAGATATTTTTGTCCATGTCCAAGTTAGTTAGTACCAAGTTCTTTGGAAAACATTGATATTCAGAAAGTTAATTCTTCATTTCAGAAATGGAATTAGAGCAAAAGAAGTTGTATAATATTGTAGAATTTTTAATTCTCTAATAGCACATAGAGTAAACTACTAGTGAGTACGCTTTTCCAGGTGATCCTGGGTTAACAAGCAGGCTCTTATTTCCTGTTGTCTAATTCCTTGCTCTAGCTCTCATCTGTGTGGAGCATCTTCTAGATAGCATTTACCTTGCATTCAAGAAGAAAGGCAATTCCTTCTGTCAGTTACATAGAAATCTGATTTCAGGAAACAACCCAGTAAAGAGTTCTACCTTCTCAAGTCCTAATATTGACCATAATCCTGAACTTGCAGAGAATGATAGTTTGTAAACTTGCTTCCCTGTTTCTGTGGCTACATTGCACAGTCATATAAGATAAAATGATAAAAATTGGTATAAACTTTTAAGTAAAGAAAATTTTTAAATCCATTTTTATTCTTGCCATATCTTAGTTTAGGCTCCAAGCTATGTTCATTGCATAGATAATCTTATTTAATTTTCACACCAACGCTGTATTTTTACAAATCAGGATATAAGCTAAAAGGTTCAGTATAATGCCCAAAGGTACACAGAAAATAAGCAACATGAGAGCAAAGCCCTATCTGTTTATTTTTTCCCTCCAAAGCCTAGCATAGTACCTTGCATGAGGCATCTTTGAATAAATGAAACCAGGATTAGTACCTTAATCTGTATTCTTTATCTTATTTTAAACAAAATTAAAAGACTTGAAAAGATGCTATTGAGTACAGTAGTTTTATTATCCCTCTAGAAATCTTATGTATAGATGGGAGAAAAAGAGGAAGGAATGGGGAATTGAATAAACCAAGCTTCTTATGAACCATAATTTCTGTGGTTCTATGCCATAATTTTTCCCAATGAACACTTCTATCATTTTTTCCTGTTTCAAAATGTTATGCTTACTTTTTGTTCTTCGCTTTATTTTGCTGTTCTTTCCTCATTTCTTAAGACATTTAGCTCATTTGTAACTTTTTTTTATTATATAAGCATTTAAAACCTTTAAATTCTGTTTTCATTGCAAGTCTCACAGTGTGATGTGCATCTTTTTTGGCATAAAATAATACCCCCAAGTTTCATGTAGAACTGGCCATCCAGCCATAAGAGTACATCTCCCAATATCTCTTGTAGTTAGATATGGCCAAAGCACTAGGTGTTGACCACTTACGTATAAGCAGAATTGATATGCTTAACTTAGGATTCACATTCTAGAAATATGAAATAATTTGCCCTAAATGCTCTATTTCTACCTTCAAATGAATTGTAAAGCCAGTATGGTGCTAGCAAGCTACCTTGAATCGTGGCTGAGGACGACTGCTGCTGAGTCTAAGAGGAGGCCCCATGTTCGGGATGGCAGAGCAGAATCCACTTGCACAGCTTGTCTTGTTATATAGGAGAGAAACCCATTCTTCCTTGAACTACTCTTTTCTGTATAACTGTTTTGGAGTGTTTTTGTCATATCGATTTTGCCTGTACCCTTAGTATTGGTATATTCTAATTTCATCTGATCTATCTCCTGTTCAAGCTATGCACTGAGTTTTAAATTTCAACAATTTTTTTCTAAGTTTTATTTGGCTCTCTGTCCTCACCACCCAAATCTGCCTGCTCATTTTTTTTGTTACAGTATCAGTGATATACAATCTTATGATGGTTTCACATAAACAGTGCAGTGATTTCAACATTCACGCATATTATCAAGTCTTCACCCCCAAATTGCAGTCACTAACAGTGTATTAAGATGCTGTAGAGTCACTACTTGTCTTCTCCATGCTGTACTGCCTTCCCTGTGACCTACCTATATTATGATTGCGAATTATAATGCCCCTTAACCCCTTTCTCCCTCCCCACGCTCCCTCCCCTTTGGTAACCATTAGTCCCTTCTTGATGTCTCTGAATCTACTGCTATTTTGTTCCTTCGGTTTTGCTTTGTTTTTATATTCCACAAACAAGTGAAATCATATGGTATTTGTCTTTCTCTGCCTGACTTATTTCACTGAGCCTGCTCCTTTTTTTATGAACTCATATTGCATGTTTGATTTTTGAGATTCCATTTATATTTTTAACACATTTTATATTTTGTAGTAATAATTTCACAATTTGAAGTTTCTAGAGACCTAAACCCATGTGTTTCTGTTATTCTTACATATGATGAATTTGTTTCTTTAAGTGTATGGTTATTTCTTACCATGAGTTCACATTTATTTTAATCCATGTAAATCCACGAGTCTAAATATGGTACTCTTTCACATTGAGGGCATTTTTAATTGCTGCTAACGGAAATAGTGAATATCTGTAACCTAGAGTCACTTCGGCAAGTTTCCTGGGTTAATATGCAAAAGTTGGCTTCAGTTTTCCTACCTTGTGCTTGCTTAAAGCATAGTTTCCATATCCTATTTGCATACTACTCACAGCTCTCTGCTATTGGGGATATATATGTTTGGTTGGGGATGGAGTTGGGGGGTGAAGCAAGGTGGGTTGGAAATTTATTTATTGAAATTCCACCAGTGCATTAAGAGTTATGTTTTATTGAGAATCTAAATGTTTGTAGCAGTTGGGCCCTGCTGATCAGAAAGGCACACAGCCCTATCGGAAGTGGAAGTCATCATTTTCCCCTTTAATGCATATCAACCTAACTCCACCTTCAGTACTCCTCCTAAGTATTGTCAAGGTCACCAGTCATCTCCATGATGCAAATCATAGGGCAATTTCTGGTATTAAGTGTTTTGACCTCTCAGCAATCTTAGATACTGTTGATCCCTTCCTCCTTTTTGAAACTAGGCTTGAAAATTCTGTTCTTATAACTTATTTGACACTACTTTATCCTGGTTTATTTTTTAAATTTCTAGTTACTTTTTCTTAGTCTGTTTTTATGATTCCTCCTTCCCTAATCAACCTTTGTTTGGGGGGATTTTTCAGAATTTAATAATCTGCTCTCTCTCTTGTGTATACTCTTATCCAATGTGATCTCAGACATTTCTATGGCTTTATATACTACCTATGTGCTGTCAATTACACACTTTATATCTCCAGTCCAGGTCTCTCATGAGAACTTCAGATTTCCCTACTTAAATGTCTCACAAGCCACTCAACCCAAACATATCTAAAACATCCCCAGAGAAGCTTATCCCATATATTTTGCTGTAAATAATCAGGAACTCGTAAATTATCTTTGAATTCTTATTCTCTCCCAATTCTGAAATTCATTCCATCCATTCTTCCCCTAATTTCCATTTCCACTCACCATCCTAACACAGGCCAGGGTAACCATACATTTTTGTTTGCTCAGGACAGACTTGGGTTATTCCTGTTGTCCTGGCACAATTATTACAAGGAATATTACAGATTATTAAATTATAAATTGTAAATTATTATATGCAATTTGGTCATAGTTGTTTTCCCTGCTTTCTTTATTGCACCTCCAGAATCCTTACTCTATGTAATAGCTCAAGGAGTGGACTTTCAGTCACATTCACTGAGAAATTTGAAGTCATTGAAAGAAATGTTACAATGAATCTTACCATTCCATCTATCTAGACTAGACTAGCATCTGTAATCACATACTTATCTTCTGCTTGTTTTCAGTGGCAAATTGTTCTAGATTAAGCCAATTTCTATACTTGTACAGCAGATTTCATTCTTTCTTACCCACTCTAGATCCTGGCTCCTGCAATTTTCTTGTCTCTTACGACTCCAGCAATATACACATCTGCTATTTCTGTTTACCTTAAACAAAGTAAATGACACTTCTGTGCCCATTTCACACACCAGGTACCAGCTACATTTATTTGCTATCTTACAGTGCAGCAACCTTTTTGTAAGCCTCTAATTTTCTCTTAAGACTTCAATAGGGATTTTCCCACTGACCTTGGAATTCCATCAAACTTGCCCTTCCAGGACACCTAGTATCCTTCAGGGTGCTAAATCCAATATTCAGTTCTCAGTCATCACCTTGTTAAATACATCAGCAAATTTTGATGCAGCTGATGATTTCCTTTTCCATCTTACAC